GGCTAGTTTATATCGATTTCCTTCTTGTTAAGCATCTTTTCTAACAATTTGAAATTTGTCTCAATATGCAAACCAATGCTCTCACTAGTTTCTGCGTGCTTATCTTCTAACTTGTCAACCTCTCCACAAGGTACCTATGAGGGTTTACTTGATCTGGTAAAAGTTAAATAGTCCCAAACCCTTGACTGAATCATAAACTGAAGGGCTGAAATCATAAACAATAGGTAAGTTACATAATAACAACTGCACATAGCTTTGAAGAGTAATTTTCTTTATGTACTCAGTTTCTTTCATCAACACGTTTCCTTTTCATTTTAGAATTTTTGGATCTAACTAAGGATTTCTGTTATTCTAAAAAAACACTAAATGCATTTAGAATGTATAGAAGAAGTGGCTAATTTTATTTCTTTAGTAATATGAACATTCAGAAGAAATATGAAATATATATGGTAAAGTCCCCAGTTACAAAGCTTGATGTGGCAAGAATTTTTAGAACTTAGTGACACACCGAACAACAAAATCTAGAAATAGGAAAATTTTTAGAATTTAGAGAGCAGGTATTGGAAGCAGAATTTAGAAAGGCACTAGGCAGCAGAATTTAGGATCCACAGAGATTGCATCAGGTGGGAAATGTCTAGTGCCAGTTATGTGTAAATGCATTAAAGACATATTAAGATGAATCTTTTAAATAGTAAATTTTCAATTTCTTTATTAATAAAAAAAAAATTCCTTTCTATAATATCTGGCCATGTGATAAGATTAGAAGCAGTTTTGATATTTTCCATACTTGTGTCTAGTGAGATGTAGAGAAAATAAAGAGAAGATAAACATGTTAGGAAAAAGATTCTAGTATCAAAAGTAAAACATTCAAATATTATGTTTTCATTGTTCTTCCAGACGTTCTCCAAAAGGTAAAAACTTCATCGCAAACTTTCTGCAACATACATCCATTATGTGTTGATACCATGGACACATTTTTCATTTTGTCACATATTTCTCGAATCTTCTAGAATCGTGGGTCTATAAATCTTGCCTTCAAATCCTCCTAAACTTTCCAAGATACAATGTCTAAAATACTAGAGAAAAATTATCCCTACCAATTCTGTAACAGCAAAAAGGCAGAAATATTTTGGAAAAACAAAAGGAGGGAAAAAGTGTAAAATTAATTTTATAGAGAAAATTGATGCATATTCTGAGAATTTTGCATATTCTGAGACGGGAAAAACGCTTACTATGAAAAAATTAAAAAGAAGACATTTTTAATTAATTACATAGCTAATTTTACTCTTGTTAAGAGCTGTTTCATAAATTACACTTTACAGCATTATGCCTTATTTTTCAGATTTATAATATTGTATAATAAGTTGCCAAAATGAAACCTTATAATATGACAGCGAAAAATAGAGATGTTTTATTTTAATGTTATTTTTTAAATATAATTTCAATATACTACCATTATTTTAATGAAATTTATCAATGTTGTGATGTTTTAAAAAAATCGTCAAAAAATTCTCAGATCTCGGAATTAAAAATTTTTTTATAGAAACTGATCTTAAAATCGCCAAAGTGTTGACAAGTCGCCAAATTTAGAACCGTTTAATAAAAGAATTCACATCCCCAAAAGCGAAAAGTTGTTTAAGATTTCTTTATTAAAAAAAAAGAATTTCGAAATGCTTATGTTTCACTTCTTGCTTAGAAACTTGAGTATCCCATAATTTATATTAGAAAGAGAAACAAATTATAACCCATTTAAAAGATAACCATATGTGTCAGTGAATCGCCAAAAATATTCGTCCAAAATGCTAATTCACACTCAAAATGGCAGTCATAAAAAGACAAAAATTTCAGATGATTAAAATTAAGGACCTTCTGCTGATTTTGGCCAAAATTAAGGACTTTTAAGAACCAAAAATCGATTCCAAAAAATGTAAGGTCTTTTAAGGACTCTTAAGGACATTATAAAATAGATGAAACTAAAATTTCTGAGAAAAAAAAATTTAAATGCTATTCATTTTTCTTTATAGCAATCTTTCTATCACATTTAGATTTTTATGAAATTTCTATTGTTGACCCTTACAAATCATTATGATTATTAAAATTCTACTCATCACTTTTCTTTCTTGACAAAAATGCACATTTCTTATTTGTAAGATATTAAAATTTGTACAATAATATTAAACATTCTGCTTCTTATCAGAAAGGGAAATCAACTACGCTACATACATTTTTAATAAAACAATTAGTACTTCAAAACTTATGAAAAGGAAAGAAAGAATTTAGAACCGACTATGCATCTTCCAAGAAAAACTTAAGCAATGGATGATTAAAAATAATTATTCTTAGAATTACGGATTTAGAAAATAATAAGTTACATGGTGTATTTGAGAAATTTTAAATATCTAACTTTACTCAAAGTTTTGATCTATAATACACAATATTCTATCTGTCTCTTTATATATATAAACCAGCAGAATTAAATCTACTCCATATATAGAGGTAATGAAATTCATTTATAACAGTAATTATGTATTACCACAATCCTAGAAATGTTGCAAGTGATTACTGACAGTTTTGCATCAATAATTGTATAATGCAGAGGATTTCCAAAAACTCATTGTGTTTAGTTTTCCTCATGAAAGTTATCATACGAGGGCCATCCAGGAAGTAGATTACGTTTCCGTCTGTGTCCGCTAGGGGCGGGGCTAGCGCGGCCATCTTGGGGTCAGAGCGTTGCGCAGCTCAGTCTGCATCTAGCCGTGCTAGTGAGAGGTTCGTGCTGTGCTCCGTTCAGATACTGTGACGGTTTGAAATGTCTGCGTTAATTGAAAATCCCGCGAGCTGCGAGGTGCGCTCAGTAATAAGGTTTCTGACTGCAAAAAACTGTAAACCGATAGAAATCTATCGGCAGCTTCGTGAAGTGTATGGGGACAACATTATCACTGAAGGTGGAGTGCGTCAGTGGGTCATAAGATTTCAAAATGGCCGAACCAATGTTCACGACGAAAATTGAAGTGGGAGACCCAGCATAGTGACCGCCGAACTTCTCGAAAAAGTCGATGCTAAAGTCCGTGAAAATCGAAATTTCACAATAACGGAACTTTCTTTGAGTTTTCCACAAATTTCGCGAAGTTTGTTGCACGAAATCATCAGCGAAAAGCTTGGTTACCACAAGTTTTGTGCAAGATGGATTCCAAAAATCTTGACAGAGGACCACAAAAATCAGCGAATGGCTGCAGCGTTGAACTTTTTGGACGCTTACCATAAGGATGGTGACTCTTTACTCGATCGCATCGTTACTGGTGACGAAACATGGGTGAAACATGTGAACTGTGAAACGAAATTGCAATCAATGAAGTGGGGGCACACAAGTTCTCCCCAAAAACCCAAGAAATGCATGCAAACAATGTCGGCGAGGAAGATGATGGCGACTGTTTTTTGGGACAGAAAAGGTGTAATTTTGGTGGACTTCCTGGAAAGAGGCACTACAATAAACTCTCAAAGGTATTGCCAAACTCTCCAAAAAACTCAGAAGAGCAATTCAAAACAAGCACAGAGGAATGTTGAGCTCTAAGATCTTGTTGATTCACGACAACGCCCGGCCCCACACGGCAAATGTCACTCGTAAAGTTTCTTGAATCTTTTAAGTGGGAGTTGTTTCCTCATCCGCCGTACAGTCCCGACCTGGCACCGAGCAACTTCCACCTATTCCCAGCAATGAAGAAGTGGCTGGCTATGCAGCGTTTTGATGACGACGCACAGCTGCAAGAAGAGGTAACGAAGTGGTTGAAGGCGCAGGCGGCTGAATTTTTCGACGAAGGAATTTCCAAGCTCGTACATCGCTACGATAAATGCCTTAATTTGTATGGTGACTATGTAGAAAAGTAGTATTTGAGTATGGCTTTCATCTGTATATAATAAAATTTGTTTCCTATACTTTGTTTATTTTTTATTCCAAAACGTAATCTACTTTCTGGATAGCCCTCGTATAATTTGATTATGAATTTTGCAAATGGATCTGCAAACCTTTGAATTACACCCTTGAATGAAAGTACCTTTTTAAAGTTCAGAAGCTGCACTTTTATAGTAGTAAGCAAGTAATTAGATGAGGAATGTCTCGTCATAAAAATAAAAAATTATTGTTATTTATGTAGAAAAAATAAGATGGCATAAATCAATGTAAAAACAGCTTCATTGAAATAAAAATAAATAAATAAATAAACTTGCAATCTTAATCTCAGCTTTCAGTGGCCAAGCTGGAATCTCTCTCTCCAGCTTATAAACCGATCTAATTTGCAGCTTTGCAGTTCTCCACAGTTTATCTAGAAATATATCCAAAATATCAAGTTTCTAGTTTGTTCCTTGATGTTTTACACTATACCCCTCCCAAAAAAAAAAACAACATAAATCTTTTTTTTTCTGCGGGGGGGGGGGGGGGGGGCATATTACATAGAAAATGCATACAAGTAAAAATTGTTTAAAAAAAGAGCAATGGAGGCAAAGAGCGATAAAAGAATAACGATAAAGATTCATACTTTTGGGAAGGTGGTTAAAACACAAGCTCAATAAATAAATAAATAAATAAATTCTTTAGAAATAAAAGTGATGCAAACACTAACTACAAAATTATGATAATAACTGAGAACACAAACCGCAACAATCATTCTCAAATTTATCCAAGCATATGAGCCCCTACACAATATATAATCTGCAAGTATTTATTATGCAGTGATTTCAGCATTATATATCACAGAAAAACTTTAAACATCTTTGAAAGAACTCTTTAATAAAATTAATATAAAGAAAATATACTGCTTGCAAATGCAACGTTCTTTTTAATACTACTTTTTGTTTTTTCTTTTAATATTTTTTGAGGGAAATATAAAATATTTTTTTTTTAAAGAAAAAAGGTATAAAACAGACATTCACTCAAAAAGAAAAGAAAAGGAGGAAAGAAAAAGACAAAGAAATATTTTTTTCAATGAGCGATTTTCAATTCTTACCCATTGCGGCTAATTTATAAATACGTTCTACTAATTCCTCATAATTGAGAGAATTTGAAATACTTGTAATAGCATCTTCTTCCTCTTCATCACTAGAATCTTCTTCAAGGTATTGTATTCGACTTCTTGTCCTTGGTCTAGATTCTTTAGATTTTCCTTCCCTTCTTTTCTTCTTTCTTCTACCTTGTTTAGATTCAGCTGCTACTTCTTTTCTAGCATTTCTCTCAGCTTGCATTTCTTCTGTTAAATCACAAATGCATTTCCACTCTTTCTCTTTTTCTTCATAAATACACAATCTGTGGTCCATTGTAAGAGTTGCTAATAAACATCTAAAAAGAGAAACGAGAGGATTTAATTAAAGGGAAGCACTTCAGCATAAGAATTCCTAAATTAACAGACAGTCTCAAGAATATGCCAAAAATTTTATTTGTATTTTTGAAGAACTTTTGCCATGAAATACCTAATGAAATACCTACATATTTTTATGAAATTACATTTATTAAAATCATTACATATATATATATTTAATGATAACTATTTTAGATAGCTGGTCATGTAAGCAGCTAAGTTTTTAAAGAAATAATATAGTTAACATAAAAAAAATGTTAGGCAACACTTAACACTCTATTAGGAATTCTAAAAATAAGCTGTTTTTAAATGTTTTGTGATTTTGTTTTTGAATTTAAGTGGTATAATGGCATAGAACATGACATTTAAAAAACAAATTTTAAAACACAAAAAGTTAACAATAAAAAGATAAAAAAATTGTGTAAGCATCTTACTAACAAAATTAACATTGACATGATAAACTGAGGAAAGACCAAAACAACAGAAAAATGGGTACTTACCAGAAGTTCATGTCAACTGTGAAATATGGCAATTATCAAACTATAAAAGTTGGCAAAGATTTCGCCAGAATTCTATAAAGACATTGGCTTAAATAACTTCACTTTAAATGAAGAATCAGTATTCTATTCGATTTATTTCTGCAATTCTTAAAAAATCTTTTGTCAATTTCTACTATTTTATTAAACTTTCTGTTTTACTGGAAGTTATTTTTAGAACATTATGAGCACAAAGTTCTCACAGGTAATTATTTCAATCTGCTCCTATTTTGGTGGCCATATTCAGCTGACCAATCATCTCCTTTAATACACAGTTTTTTTTAAAGTATGATCCCATAACTTTGAATATGATCCACTGTTTGCTGTTTTGTAAGAGTCAGGTCCCAAATTTTAATCTCTCCCTGTTTTGGGGGATGGGGCCAAAATGCAAGAAAAAATACAGCAATAACAAGTAATTAATAGCATATCCTTATTCATAATAAAAAAGATGGTTTATCAGAATCAACTGGACTACATCAAACAAAAACGCAGATGTTACAGCATGTTGCTATACTTTGCTTATCCATATTTAGAATTAAAATCATGATGATTGCTAACACTTTTGTCATCAATAAAGGAGTTGGCTGTAGGTTTTCCTCGTGTGTAACATAAATACCTGCCTTTTTACCTTAAGTTTTCTCTGAATGCATTCTTCACCGTAGGTAAATAGGTTTCGAATATTTTACTATAATCTGAATAATGCTAAACCTGAACAGATAAAGGAATGCTGAACCTGATAAAGACAGTTGAGAATAATAAATAAGTTGATAAGTTATTATTAGTTATATGCATATTTGGCAGTTCTGCACATGTCGCCACATCTATGGCATTGTGTTTGATGAGCTCTTGAGTTTTGAAATCTTTTGTGGTAAATATTGTTTGTGAAGGCAAGAAAAGTGTTTGTGTTCCCTCTTCGTTCTGGTACGTATTTCAGTGCTTCATGTGACTTTTTATTGTGTATTTAGGGATTTGTGCTCAATTAAAAATTCCAGTTTACAAAGCTTAACAATTAATTAGAAGAAATTAAAGTGGTAAATAACGATAAAAAGGGAAATGAAAATTTGATAGGTAATGATATGGAAAGTGCAATAAACTTGAATGATTCAATTGAAGTGTTGTTAGCAGTTAAAACCCTTTATCTAATTGTGGGAAAAGTAGAGGTGAAAAGGATTCCACAGGGTCTTGCTGATGAAAGGATTGATAGAATTGTTGACTTACTGATGGCCAGAAATATTCAAAGTGTGGAAGTTGATCTTTTACATTCATGTGTCTATGACTTACAAGAAATTAAAATTGGTACTGATGAAATAAAAGATTTGTTGGTAGACAATGAAGGTGGTGAAGAAATCAGAGGGAAAAGTGGAAATTGTGGAGAAGATCGCTGGAGAGAAAATAATTTGATTGTGAAACCAACATCACCTGGAATTGATGTACATGATGAACTTACTCCAAATGTTGAATTAGATGAGGTAGATGTACGAATTATGAGTTCTCACCAACACCAGAATGGTAAAATGGTGTTTAGATTAAAAGAGAATGATGAAGTTAACAAATTACAAGATTTGATAAAATCTAAAGAAAATTTTAAAAATAAATTATTTGTAAGAAAAAAGAGGTTTATTCAACCTAAAATTATATTATATAATGTTTTTAATTTGGTTGAAGCTGAGATGCTTATTAATAAAATGAAAGAATACTGTGAATACCAAGGTGAATGTAATGTCCACTATTTCGTATTAATGTTAAGGATCAAGAAAATGTGTCATAAAAGTTTTTCAGATTCAGTCTTCTTATCAATCAAATGTGCTAGAAGGCAATAGAGTATGTGTGGGTTGAAAGGCACACACGGAAAAATTATTTATTCAACTTAAAGGATGTTTTAAATGTCTTAGATATAATCATACTTCCAAATTTTGTAAAAATGAAATTACATGTACCGATTATTCCCAGTTACATGAAAGAAATCTTTGCAAAAGTAAGATGTATAAATTGCTCAATTTCAAATGAGAAATTTAATTCCAATTTTGATAAGAATCATAATCCACTTTCCAAAAGTCAAATATATATTAAATGATTTGGATATTGAAAATTGATTTGGTTTTAGAATTTAAATTACGATAACTGGCTGGGCTATGGGTTTTATTGTTTATATTGAATTTATTCTCTACGCTTGAAATTAGAGGTTTAGGACTGAAAATTGAATTTTTATTATATCTTATCTGGTGTATCTTGTGAAATATTTTGTATATACATTTTAATATACATATTTGCTTTAATTTCATTTGTAAATAATGACTTTTTGATATATACTCGGATCTTAAATCTTTGGATTTTATTTTTGTACATGAAAATTTTAAATATTAATTTTAACCATTGTGCTGCAACGACACTCTCTGCTATCAATAATATTACAGAGGGTACTGATATTATGGTGCAGAAGCCCTCTTATAACCAAGAAAAGATAGTGTTCTGAGGACGACAGTTGGAGGACTGTAAATGATAAATTAGGAAGAGCAGCAATTTATGTAATCAGATTTGTGCATTTTGTTTCTGATACTATTGTCGCAATTACAATTGAAACCTGTGATAAGAAATGTGGTATTGTTTCAGTCTACTTCTCACTGGCTGAAGATCTGAATGAACATTTAATAAGATTAGAGATGTTTTAAAGGACTTTTCAGAGTTTTTTATTTTTGGTGATTTTCATTCTAAACATTTTAATTGGGGAGCATGAGGATTTTTAACACTTGATTTCATTATACAGAATACTCTGATTTTAATTAATAAAGAGGACTCTCCTCCTATGTTTTCTTGATGGGAATGGGCTGGACTGATCTTGTTCTGGCCTCTCCCAGAGTGGATATAAGTAAAATAGTGATGGAAATTTTAGAGGAAGAATCTATGAGTGATCATAGATATATTTATTCAGAAACAGATTATTTTGATTGTACTAAAAAGGGAAAAGTTTTATATTCAAAAACAGAAATCAAATTTATGGCTTTTACATGAAGATTACATGATAATAATAATATGGATAGGAAAAAAATTATTACTGGTCACAGACTATTCCCAGCATATTTTAAGAGATTTGGTCTTCAAGAAAATGAAAACTATCAATTTTGTAAATTAAAAGGTATACCACTTCCTTGAATCTTGTAGTTTTACTACAGACACAGTTCAGAGACAGCAGCTTGATATAAATGGGATTTTGAAAATTATGAGAAATTTAAACAAGTAACTGAAGAAATTATAATAAGAATTAATCAGAATAGAGAAGTGATAGGGATTTTGATTTGATGGAACATAGCTGCTCTCCATTACTGTTTGATGGGTTGGCACCTGTTATGGCCTGGTGGCTGAACTTGTTTTGGTCACAGGGGAAGGAATGCAATTAAAATGAAGTGCCAAACAACATGGAATTTGTGAAACCAGATACTGTCATACCACTGTTATCAATGGCAAAAATTCAAGAATTTTATCATTTGATTACCTTTTTTTATGCCCTTTTTAATAAAACCAACCACATTTAACTACCTTGTGTTATTCTTGACTGAGGTTTCTGCATTTAAAATTGATTACAAATTAGCGAGTACCTATACATATGTACATAAAAAGTACACACATAGTTTATGTAATACTTTCAATCTTAAGTTTAATAAACTTTTAACAGATAACACTCTAAATTTATCTACCTGTTTGCTCTCGCTGCTCCTTTTGGCGACCATTTGGCACAACGATAGCTACGAAATGCTTCTGCCCTTTCAGGACATGAAGGATTTAATGTATGATCCATCAAAACTTGAAATAAATTAACTACAAAGGAAAACACACACAGAATTTAGTTTTAGTAACTGAAAATGCTAACTAAAATATAAAAAATACATACACATTCAGAGAAAATCCTATTTAGATAAATAATTTACATACTCTAATCACTTCCCTAAGATGATGCATGCTGATTGCTGAAGTCAAATTAAAGCATGGCTTATGTGATCGTGATATATTTGAAACCACGATTAATTTTTTGCCAAGCTAATTTGCAAAGGAAAATGGCAGCACACTTACAAGTCCACAATTAATCAATAAAATTTAAAAAGCATGAAACTTAAGTAATAAAACAGTTACCCTTTCAATAAATCCTTCTTTTTTGCACTTTTGTTTTTCCTACACAGACAGCTTTCTGTTTTCGCTCGAAAAAATTTCAGATAATCACACAAATTCAACTCCATATAACTTCACCATTATGCATCAGACAAAAAGAAATGTGCAAATGCATACCAAGCTTGCCACATGTATACTTTTAGGGGACATAATTCATTGCCTTGTTAATACTTTTGCAACTTTTTAGGGGGTTGGATAATTAGAAAGTACACAAAACCCAAATGATAAAGGTAAAAGATATTTATCAATATTTAAACAAATACAATGTGCTAATTTACAAGTAACTACAGCCTGACTTAATAAAAGCAAATGAAAAGAAAACTTTTTTAAAACTTTATTATATTATTATATTTATTATATTCTCAAACTAAACAATAAAAGATGTACAAAAATAATAAAAAAGACAATAAAAGAACAATAGAGAGAAAGAAAAAGCAAACTACGATGCCATTAGTGTACATAAAGTCTTGTATCCCAGCAGTGCTTGAAGAGCACTACAATTCTGAGGGTAGCTTTTATCTATTGCATAGATGATTGAATGGATTCCACTAAACATTCATGGCTGGTAATCAAGTGAAAAGCTGCTACAGCTGCTACAGGTCAAGACATATCAGATGGTGGTCCAACACTTAAGGGCTTTGAAAATCCTGCTGAAATCATGATTAAAATTTAATTCAAACAAAATATCATTTTTAGTTAGCTATTGAATCACAAAACCCTTTTACCCAGTGTATCAGGTTGTTTGCTGCCAGAAATTGAGCAATAAGCTGACATCACTTGTAGATGTTAAATATGTAAGCAGGACCGGATTTAGACTTGATAAGGCCCTTAAGCTATTTGAGATATGGAGCCATTTATAAGTTCAGATATTATATATCAGGGCTAAATATAATTTCGAATATATAGAGGGCTTTGGGGGGGCCTCAAGAAAGCAGGGGGCCTAGGCTATAGCTTGTGTAGCTAATATGGAAATCCTGCACTGACAGTAAGGTTTATTTATTTCAATTTGCTGATTTAAAATTTCTGTCCTTTAGGGTGGAATTACAAATTCCTTATACTTCCTTATCCAAATTCAGAAATTATCCCAAAAATTCAAATATGGCCCAGAATTAATGGATAGTAATTTTATTAACCCTCCAAGCAGTGAAGGATTCGGCTCCCAAATTCTTAAGTTACCAAAATAGCCAGCAGTAATTAGTATTTTCTTGTTTATAATTTCAAAATAATCCTTCCATTTGTACCTGTATCTTTTCCTTGCAATATATACATATATATATATATATATATATATATATATACTCAGATAGTGGGGAGGGAGATATATATATATATATATATAATGGATCCAGCAATATACATATATATATGTAAAAAGGAAATTCTTCATGCTATTGCTTTAAAGCAAATGTGATATTGTGGTTCCCTTGAATAATTTTTAACCCAAAGTTAAAATAAATTGCAATTAAAAGTTTCAATACAAGAAAAATGAAATGATTATAAGGAAACTGACAAATAAAAAGTGAATGTAAAACTCAAATCAAGTTGGAAGTTAAAAAATGTTGATTAAAGTTAAAGCAATCCTAAAACATTTAAACATAAACACAAAAGTTATTTAAGACATAAGCAAAAATACAAAGAAGCGGAAAATGGTAAATTAGCCTAATTCGAATCTCATTACAGACTCTTCAGGGGAAATGCACAAAGATCTTCGAATCCATCTAATTTCATATTGTGTTTCGTCAAAAATGAAGAATTGAGACTGAACTCGAAATAACTTTTTGACAATTTAACCGACAATATAACCTATTAAAACTTAAATCTCAATTTCTCTGCTTCATTTCCCGATACGTCTGCTGGTCAAAAGTAAATGAGAAACACATTAATGGAGTAAGGAAAAAAAAAAAACTATACAAACTAGCCTGGTTAGGCAAATGTACAAAATAAAATAAATAGCGAATTGCTATTAGTCAATTGATACATGATTTTTAGGGAGGACCTACTAGCTTAAAGAGTTTAAACTTTGTAAAAGAAGGAAACATCTTTTAAATTAAAACTAAAAGTGTATCAATTTGGGTCTTGCTATGACCAAAATTAAAACTAGGAAAAGAAAAAATCTTAAACAATCCTTTATCTGCGACTTCTTCTGTGAAAAGCTATGAGCTAAAAATTGTCGTTTGACTCCAGAAAAGATAAAAATAAGCTGACCAATAAAGTGGTATGATGTAAAAAAAAGAAAAACATTATGAAGCTATGGCCAATGAAACGTAACAGATAGTTGGCACAACCTGACTCAGATAGTAGGGGGGGGTTAACTGTCGAAGATGGTAGAAATTTGTTCAAAATGGTGTCTTGCTCGAAGTAAATTCTAGAAAGTTGGAAGGAGGTGCATTCAAAATGGCTAATTCCAAAAAATGGTAAAAATTTTGGCCAGAAAGGCAGTAGAAATTGGAAAAATACAGTAATTTGTTAAAAAAAGTCATAATTCTTCAAGCTAGAGGTCTTTCAAGCTACTTGAAATGAAAATAGCCCTTAAAAATCAATAAAAGGATAGGAATGGCCAGAAAAAGCTTAAGTACAGTCAAAAGTCTTTAATCCGGACTCGTCGGGACTTCGGTGATTCCGGATTATCGATTTTTCCGGATTATAGATCATCAGTTTAAATCTGGTAAGATGGCATGCAGAAATTATAAAATTAAAAATATGAAACAGTAATTTATAAAATAATGAGCAATTATGATCTAAAGGGTATCAAAATTTACAAAAAAAAAAAAGCTTAATATTTATTTGTTTACTTTATTAAACATTTCTTTCAATGCGCACATGCGTAAAGCATACATTATGCATAGTCGAAATTAGAAAATTGCAACCAGAAAACTATTTGATTTGTATTCGTGATATTTATAATGACGAGGAATTTGATTTAAATCATATCAAAGACGAAGTACATCGAGATGAAATACTACACTGCATTTAGTATGGAATTATAAAGGCGAATAAAATAAAAACATCTGCCCTGAAGATAAGGATAGTGCTGACAAGATCAACTTCCAGTTCATTGCGCGCCACGCCACGTTGCCCCCCCCCCCCCCGCGCAGAGCAGCGTGAAATTGATAAACAGATTTCGGAACTGTTAGATAAACAAAAGATATGCCTTTATCCATTTTTTGGAGCAATTCCACTTTTTGTTTGATGGACATCGAAACATACTTTCGTTTTCGTAGATCCTTTGGGAGCTCCAGCATCGGAATTTCTATTTGACATAATCGAAAGTTCAAGCTTACTTTTATAAAATTGCTCTTACAGTCTACAAAAAATAATAAGCCGGATCCAATTTGAAGATTAAGGAACAACGCAATCATCAACATTAACTGAAATAGACAATTAGATAATTTTAACTTATACCGTCCGTTATACATTAAATGCGCAGCGAAAACGTATTCTACGCTTGTGCACACGCAAATGCGCAGTCGTATAGGTCTTACGCACATGCTTAAACGCCAATGCGCATGCGTCAAAGCGGCGCATGCGCAGAAAGTTTTTAGCTTTGACGTCCGGATTATAGATCATTCCGTATTATGGGTGTCCGAATTAACGACTTTTGACTGTATCTTAATCAAGAATGGAATTTGGAAAATGAATTCAAGAATGGAATCTTGACCGCACAGGTCTTTTTAATTTGTTCTTCTTTCTTAAATTATATATATGTATATAATGGATATATATATAGTCTTTGCATTTTTTTGCCACTAAATGGTGTTGATGCCTATATATCCGGCAACACTCACCCGATTGTTTCAAACGATCGTGTGCTTAAAAAGTGACATTCAGCTTCCATTGTTTGTGAAAATAGTTTTCTGATTCATTGCTTGGGTAAAAAGTTACACTGATTTGAAAATGAGTGAAATATCTGAAGAAATATGTTATGTAATTCTTTTTTACTATAAAAAAGGTAAAAGCGCTGCAAAAACATGCCAAAAAATTTGTGAAGTGTATGGTGAGAATGCTGTGACTGAACGAAGGACCCAGAAGTGGTTTGCTCAATTCCGTTCCAAAAATTTCGATATCAAAGATGCCCCTTATTCTGATCGGCCAGTCACTGAAAAAGTCGATGAAATTTTGCAACTGCTGGAGCAAGACCAGCACACAAGCTATCAGGAAATAGCAGAGGCACTATACATTAACCACATGACAGTTTGGAATTATTTGAAAAGAGTAGGTTACAAAAAGAAGCTAAATGTTTGGTTGTCACATAAATTGCAACTTGGCGAAACCATCAATTAGGCTCTGTACTGTGCACAACTTGACCGTTTGAACGAAGCAATAGAGAAAAAGCGACCAGAATTGACCAAAAGGGAATTGTATTCAATCATGACAATGCATGACCACACACATCTTTGATGACTTAGAACAAATTGAAGGAACTAAGTTGGGAAGCTTTGATGCATCCACCATATAGCCTGAACCTTGCACTCTTTGACAAGCATTTTCTTCAGTCTCTGCAAAACTGTCTTGATGGTATAAAAAAGCAAGGAAAGGCGGAGCAGTGTTGATGCATATGTAGATCTATATTGAAGAGGAAGAATGTTGATTGCGTAGTATGCTAACATGTTGACTTGGTAATATCTAAAAAACTTGGCAGTCGAGGAGGTTTT